AACTACCTGTTTTAGCCAATTTTATTTTAACTGGGTGCTGCTCGCAAACAAAAGATTTCAAGAGTGAGTGGGTGGCGCTCGTGCTCACAGCCTCATAGGACTAACTTGACATAATATGTAGCCAAGGGCAGAAAAAACTGTCTGAAACCTAGAGTTTCACAATTACTTGTACATACGATGATCTCATTATTTGAAAAACTGAGTATGTTTAATTTGCATGGGCAACATTAAGGAAAAGTAGAGTAGGTTCCCTTTAAACTTGCAAAATAAAGTCTTAGGTCGTGTTATCAGCAAGTGTAAAAAAGTAATCAAAGTACACTCTCATTTTATCTAACACACTTGTATTATTTCAGCCATCATACAAGAAGAAAATATGGCACTGGTAGACGAAAAGCTAAATTATAAATGCCAACAGGTTCGAGATTAATAATCAGCCAGGATAACAGAAAACCCACAGTACAGTTTTATTTATCTACAAAATAACCGACTGCATGCATGCAAACTGCACTGTTTGTGTTGATTTAAGTAAATTATTAGGGTAATGAAATACCAAACCAAACTAAGCACGAACGTAAAGTGGTTATTGACGAAATGGAAGTTCACAGGGTTCACACACTGAGAAGAAGTGTTTTCAGTAACCAGCCCAATGGATTGTTCTACATGTGGTGTGACAAGCGAAAAACACAGAGTGGAGTGAATGAAAACTTGAGCTATTATAATCTTGGTCATCTAGTCAGCTGATGAGCAGAGATTAGTAAAAAAACAGACAAACAATCCGGCTCCATTGTTTAGTCTCTCGATATAAACAGCTCGGGCCATTATATAAAGGCTCCGGATAGCAACCAGTGATGAGCTGCCCTGTAAAACACAGGAAACACTGTGAAAAAGGATCTGTTCCACATGATGTGTGCATATGTGTGTGCGTGCAGAGGGAGTACAGACTGAAAGAAGAAATGCAAAAGGTCTGTAAAGGAAGTTATTATGTTAATTATGTGTATCCACATATGTGGACTTGATATTTACCCAGATATGAACCTAAATAAACTGCCGCTGTACTAACAATGATACTCAAAGTACTGCAACTGTCTTGCAGGTTGGTTAATACAAAGAGTATTTCTTATTTTAGGATATTATCGTGTTTCTGCTGTTCTAACATAGCATAAAAGAGAAGCTGCTAATCAAGCCCATCTGAGTTTCTTTCCCACCACTGAGTTGGTCGGTCTATGCATGCTTCCCAGACTGTTTTGTTATATTTATGTACTCTTGTTACAGTATATGAAAACACTGTATACATGAAAGACCAGTTAGCCATCTACAATGCAAGTTTGACAGTAGAATGCGTCCGAGCATGCTAAAATACCAACAGAAAAATTTCCAAATGAAAGAAACAAACAAACAGAGCCTTGCTAGACAATTCAAAGTGACTCCCAACACATGGAGGCAAAGTCTCCTGTTTGAGTTTTGCCCTCGCTGCAATAAATCCTGCAACACATTCGGAGAACTTTTTGATGTTTTGTGATCTTACTGGTAAATGACGGATACAGTGTGAAACAACCCTTGCAAGCATTCCTAAAGCGACATACAGGAGCTTTTCCACTTAAAAGAGCAGAAAAAGTTCATATTAGGTGGCAGGTAGGGTGAATGGCACAAACACATTAAAGTTAAGTCTGAACTAGGAGCATTTTATGGTTGAAGTTACAAAAAGATCCTACTTTGTGTAAAATATACCCTTTCATCATGTTAGAATTCATTGGCAACCTCTGAGGGTAAAAATATGAAAGTCTGTTTCCAACACTAAAAAAAAGAAAAGAAATAAAAAGTCTAAATTTTCAGTTATGTGTCTCAAAATTTCAACTTATTTTTTACTTTTTTTTAGTGGCAGAAACAACTTTCCATGAATAATAACAATCATATAGCATCCTTAGAGAAACCCAAGGTCAATTTACACACAAAAGACAAAGGCCTCAATAAATACATTACATTTCAACTTCCATAAAAAACAAACAAACAGCCCAAATAAACATGCCAAAACAGCCCTGTAGTTCCCTGAAAGGCCACAGGGCAAACTAACTAAAAATGCGAGTCAATCGAGGTGTTAAAATGTTGAACTTTACAGCAGGACTTTAAAGCTAGAGCTTTCTTAAAAAGCTTGCACTAACTACCTATCTGAGAGTGTTCTCGTTTATTGAATTACAAAACAAGAGACAAGGCCAGCTGAGGTAACATGTACAGCCAACAAAATAGGTTTCATAACAGTGTAAGCAGTATTTCTTTAACATAACGTGCACTTGTTACAAACGTGCAGCTCCAACATGACTAATGTTCATGCACTAATGAAACGTGCTAGTGGGGACACCTCTTATGGTTTATCTTAACCTTAGCTCTACTCTGTTTTTGGCGATGAGCTTTGCCCTAAAACTCCTGTCAGGTTAATTATACTCTGTTATGTCGAATGCTGCTAATGGAGAAAAGCATTATGTGCGAGGAACAGAACAATCCTGCTGGGGGAACGTGCAGGCCTGCTAACGCCTGGGTTGGTCAATTGATGAGTGCTTTTATTCAGGGATTATATTTCGATGCTACGTTGACCTTCTCTGAATGTCACTGGACATCTCCTGTCTAATACTGACTGTGCACATGCTGACCCTGCAGCAGCTCACATTAGATCAATACGTCCTCGGCTCGTGTTGTGACTCTCGGTGCAGGGGAGAGCTTCTACTTCTATAAAAGGTAATAAATGTCCCCAGAAGGACGGTGCAAAAGAGGGACATCCTCCAAAGAGGATAGTGACATTATAGTTTAAGGTATGCAGTCAACAAAAGATCCTCTCAAAAACTATGTGTGTGCGCTACTAAACACAATGCCTGCTGATAGTAGGCTGACACATGGGCATGTGACCATGTCCATAGCATGGATCAACAAAGACAAGCTAAAGACGCACAATAAAACTGAAGCCGTAAAAGAAGCAGTGACAATGCTGCACAACATGACATAAAAAGGTGTGTCTTACTTCCTGACACACCTGTAATCCCACAAAAGGTGTAATTTCTGATAAGAAAGCCACAACACGCAAAGTTGCAGATAACAACAGCCGATCACTTCCTTCCAGTAACTGGACAATAAACCGATCCTGAGCAGTTTTTTTGCCATGCGGTGGCGTCTATTTTCACTTTTGTAAAGTCTTTGCCACTAAAAAAATCTACTGTTATTGCATTTAGAAGCTTATATAGGCCGGTTTTAATGACTGCAAGAACTTTAACTGATCTTTTTGCCCATTTTAGTGTAAAATAATGAATCATAAAAACATAAAAAGGCCTCTTTTGCCAATTGATGGTCAATCAGCCACGGTTCTTTTGAGTGCTTTTCCCCATCACACCATGAGAACGCTGTTTATCAGAAACGCATGACTCAGAACAAGGCCATAAAGATACAGTTAGCACAGATGTTAATACAGGAAATGCAGAGTTTCAGAAGGCAGGCAAGACAGCAAAGCGTGGTTTGATTTCTTAGTTGCATCTAACACCCCACCACCACCCCAAATGTGTGTCTGGCAACATATGACAAGCAGAGACAAAGGCTTGGTCGCATTCCCTGCTTCTTTCAAACCCTGGGACCGGGAACAGACACACATACGCTGGCTTCGTAGAGCAGAGTACGGCCGGCAGGCATGAATGGGGACGCGCTGAAGGTTAGAAGGCTTTTATGAATGAGCCGGCGTCACGCCACCGCAGCGCAAACATCCCCTCCGGTGCCCTTCGCCCTTCCACCCCCCTCAACAGATTTGCAAGGCAGGCATTCCCATCGAGCACAGCCCCGTGTAGACTGACAGAGACAGACGCTGACGATACAGCTAGGCTAACAGAGCTGTAAAAATGCAAACAGGAGCCAGTAAATTAAATAGTTTGGCAGGCCTGCTCGTATGTCTGTACATATGGTTTTTTTCCTGACAAGGCTGCAGGATTGAAAAAGGAACAGGCCATATAATCTATATTTGTTTTGGCGCTCTGCAGCCTACACAGTGTAAAGGTAGTACAATGCATATTAATCTGCTGTTAAGCAAATTCTAAGCGTTAACCGCTTGAGTACAGGCCCATCGGTTCGCACACGAACGTATCTGTGGGCCTAGGCAGTGAACAGCTTTGTAGAAGCTATAGTTCGCAGAAGAAAAAGCACGATCCTAGCGTGTGCATGTCAAACACAACTTCGCCAGTTTCCAGTTTAGGAAAAACGGACCAGTCTCTCTTCTTTCTTTTTCTTTTTTAAGGCTGAGTCGACGTTTACGATCGCTATTTTTTATGAATGGAGCGTGGTAGGCTATGCAAATGAGGGCGATTGAGAAAGAGATGGCGGATGAGGCATATCGGATATCTCACATCCTGTGAGACTTCCCCTTCGGTTAGAGACAAACACACAGATGTGACTAAAAACAAAGCGAAAATGTCCTTGCAATCGCCGCTCAGTGTTTTTTTTTTTTGCTTGTTTGTTTCTTCTGAGCTACGCACAAACAAAAGATTCGCGAGCTCGCCGCCGAGCGTGTATTCATAAAAGGTGTAACTTCTGGGCGTGCTGGAGTTTCTAAGTTACGCTGCAACAGGGGCCTGCTCTCTCGCTTCAGATCCTTTCAGAAAATGTTTCCGACCCACCCACGCTTATTCCCCTCCTCCTCCTCCCACTCCCCTCTCCTTTCTCTCTTGCCTTCCCAAGCCTGGAGTCTACACCGAGGTGGGGGCCCTAAAAACCCTCTTCGACAGCACTGTCAATGCATTACTTCACAGCAGCATCAAACAGCAAATTCAACCAATTGAGCGTAATAATAATAATAATAATAAAAAGAATATTAATAAAAAGCATACACCATGAACTGATCTGCACAGAATGCACATTCCATCAAGTTGCTCCAATCACCTCTAACTTCTAGTCACGGAGGGAAGCAAGGGGGAAAAGACAGAAAAGAGAGAGCAGTAAACATATAGAGAAATCTTCTGAGTCCCAGTACTTACTCGTTTGGGTGTGTTTCTTCTATCATTTTCTCGTTTCACCTCAGGTAATGTACCACGGCGGTTGCATACTTTTCGCTTGTCATTCTTTCACCGTGGCTCCTCCGATTCTGTCTCCAATTCCGCATAAATCCCCCTGCGCCTTTGTGCGAGTGTCGGCTCTTTGCTTGCCTTCGACTGGCTGCGTCTCCGTCTTCTTTACCCCTAAAATTTTCCTCTTTTACACCCGGAGCCACCCTCTTTCTTCTGGATCGCGAATGCCCGCTTTACTATAACTTTAACACACCATCACCTAGCATGAACGGACAATTTTGTAGCTTAATCCAGCTCCGGTCTTCTATTACACCCCCCTCCCTGCCCAAACACACACACTCACTCACTCACACTCGCACGCACTCTCTCTCTCACACACACACGGGCGCACAGGGCACACACTCCGTTTTTAAGTCCTAAGGCGCATGTTTTCACCGACGACTCCGGTTCCAGTTGTGCGTAAAAAGCGCGTCGTCGCTGCTGTTACCGAGGGGTGGCCCCGCTAGAGCCCCATCTCTCTCTACTCCATGTTGGATTGCAGGCGGCCGAGAAGCTCCAACGACGCCGGGGCAGGGAGGCGGGAGAGGAGAGGGGGAGGGATAGCAGGAGGAGGGGGCGGAAGCGGTGACGTAGTTTACATTTTAACGGAGGGCCCACGACGGCTGCAAGCCAAAGGGTCTCTTGACAAACGCACTCTCTCGTCTTTATTTCTCGAAAATCCTTCATTTTAAACCTCAATTGTCACCTTTGTGCGCATATGAAATCCTTCACTGGGCACAGTGCAGATAGTTCACAGAAAGCACAGTTCCCTAGTTACAGTTTTCGATTTTCTGCTCTTGCAGACTGAGACACCGAGATTAAAAAGTCCCCCCCCCCCCCCCCCCCAACTACATTCCAGTGTTAACACCCTTCAATGCAATAAATCAGCCTTTATTATCATCATGATATTACTTATTTAATATTTATTCATAAGATCTAAAAGTATAGATCTCGTTATTAAGCAATATAATAGCACCGAGTTGCTCACAAAAAACCCCAATTTTCGGGGGGGAAGAGGCAAAGTTCAGACTTCAGAAACTAACATAATGCCTGATGAATCAAAAAAGATTAAAAGCGATTGCTGGCTAATCTTGTTAACTTTTTAGCACCATATCAGCGAGAGACTATCTGCTAATCTCTTATTGCCTTTGTGCCGTGAACTACTCTGGGGATTGAGGTCTTTAATACCTATTGATTTGCTAAGGTGTGTGTAAGTTAGATGATTAGCCTGTTTTGTTTGCTCTGAGTGCTGCCAGATTTGTGTTCCTGCCCCCAAACAGTTGCCAGTATTGTTTTCAGGTTCATGCCTAGACAAAAAAAGAAAAAAACAAGAAAAAAACAGAGAGACAGAAAAGAAAAAAAAGTCTTGTTTATTACTGTGGTCGAGTAGCGCCCTCAACTGGTATTTCCTACAGCTTACACATTTGGACTTACTGGTTTTGACCAGTAATAATAATAATTCTGAGAGTTCACAGGGGACAATGTCAGACCTTGAAGTAAAGCCAAGACATTCCCTCTAAATTTTTACAGTCTGTGTTCATGCAGTTGATGAAAATATACGTTTCCAAGGATACATTAAGACAAATTTTTCATAATATTTATTTATTAATTTATTTATAGGCAGCACGGTGGCACGGTGGTTAGCACTGTTGCCGCACAGCAAGAAGGTCCTGAGTTCAATTCCACCATCAGGCCGGGGTCTTTCTGTGTGGAGTTTGCATGTTCTCCCCGTGTTTGCGTGGGTTCTCTCCGGGTACTCCGGCTTCCTCCCACTGTCCAAAGACATGCAGCTTGTGGGGATAGGTTAATTGATTAATCCAAATTGTCACTAGGTGTGAATGGTTGTCTGTCCCTGTGTGTTAGCCCTGCGACAGACTGGCGACCTGTCCAGGGTGTACCCCGCCTTTCGCCCTATGACAGCTGGGATAGGCTCCAGCGACCCTGAAAAGGATAAGCGGAAGCGAATGGATGGATGGATGGATAATTTATTTGTTTATGTTTACAGAGGGTAACTCAGTGAGCATACTTTTACAGTAGGTTGCACATGTACTTAGTGTTGTCTTTAGAAACATACTTCTTGATGATGTATTCACGAGGGGTTGTGGGGATATGTGGACTTTTCTCTTAAAAAAATAAAAGAAGCACAGAAATACTATAATAGCTATACCAGTATTCTCCAACACAGTGACGTCTCTGCCAGGGACAATTTGGCAGAAGCAAGTTTTATTGTATGTAGTAAAACTATGACATGTGCAGCAAGCGTACTGACATTTGTACAAAACAAAGAATGTATGAATGGTTGCATGCGCCAAATATAAACAGTCCATGTGTTCAACACTGACACGGTGTGGTTTGAACGTGTAACTTCAGAATGTAGTCATCCTCCACAGCCCACTGGTGGCTTTGGAAAATGTGAAGGATATACATTTTCAACTTTTAACTGTATTTTCACAACTTTTACAACATTTCCTGTTGACAAAGACCTCCCCATTGGCATTCACGCAACACCAAAGTAATTAAATGGTAGATTTCTGTCATTTCAAACATTTACTTCTTGCAATTTAAGCCCATAGAGTCACGCTGACAGATATTTTTAATTTATTACAGCAGCATTTTATTGTCATGTAGAAAAACTGAGACATACTTTTGAAATTGGGCTTCTTTTTCTGATATTAGATGTTTAATTGATTATAAGTGTAGTTACATTTCTGTACACTGTGGCCCACAATATAAAATAAGTTTGACATCCCTAGCTATACAGCTAATAACATTTAACGGGACCCAAAAAGATTAATATGCATATTTGTCAATTTGTCAGTTGCTGTAATGAAATATTATTTACTGTATTAAAAAAAGTCAAGATTTTCCTATAATAGAATGTAAAATGTTATTGAATTATCCAAGACCATGTCCCCATGTTGCAGTTGTAATTAAGAATTGTCTTTGATCCCCTTAAAAGTACAGCCAGTGGGTATAGTGTTTTATACTATGTCTGGTTTCTGTCAGAAGTTATGCTGTTTTTGTGTGCTTGTGCTGTCCTAATATTTGCTTTATATTCCGTATGTACTCCATGCAACAGAAATTTCCCCTTAGGGTGTTAAGGGGTCATTCATCAACAGCTCTCCAGTGTATATAAACAGTAAATGAGTTCTCTCTCTCACTCACTCACTCACACACACACACACACACACACACACACACACACACACACACACACACACACACAC